CTCCAAATGCCCTCTTTTGCGGTCCCAATCCTGCTCGCCAATATTTTTTCTCCCCTTGCAATGATCCTGGAAGGGAAGCCAGCATTGTCCCAAAGGTGCTTTTTTCAGCAGGCACCTGGACCTTAGTTTTTTTTCTTTGAAGACGTTTCACTTCTCATCCGGGAAGCTCCTTCAGCTCTTTTTCAGAAGCTTCTTAGATGAGAAGCGAAACGTCTTCAAAGAAAAACAAGAAAGGCCAGTTGCCTCCTGAAAACGCATCTTCGGCGCAACCCTGGCCTGGATGACTTGAGAATCTCCATAGACCTTAAACCAGCATTAGCATCCTTGGATTTCATATCTACAAACATACACGCAAGGAGGCTGAAGTCAACTGTCCTAAAGTCTTCCAGAAACATTATCATTGTTGCACTAAACCCAGATTCTGACACAGTTGACCTGGGCATTTTATGATCCCTGGCTCACATCCAGCCCTTTGGCTGTTCCCTATCTGGCCCGCAAGAGATCAACTGGAAATTAGAAACCAAATGTAAATATGTATACGCCATGCACCGTTTCTACATTCAAGGCAACTGTTTTATTTTTCAATTTATATAGGTGCTCTTGTACGTATCTTCACGGCCTTATTGGATCAACCTTCTCCAGGAGAATGACAGTTTCTCATTCAGCCCCTCGGGAAAATTAATTGCAATAAAAAATTCTCAAAGCTGTGCTGTCTTGCACTTTCAGCCCTCCGGGCCTTATAAAATATAGCCCATTCCTTTGAAAAGAAGCCCGACAAAGACAATGTTATCAGGAAACAGTTGGGCCAAAATTTGATTAGGTTCAATGTCATTTCTGAGCCGTGGTGGCACGGTGGTTAGAAGGGCAATATAGCAGGCTGACTCTGCCCACTGCCAGCAGGTCGATCCTGACCAGCTAAAGGTCGACTCAGCCTTCCATCCTTCCGACGTTGATAAAATGAGGACCCGGATTGTTGGGGGCAAGATGCTCTGTAAACCGCTTAGAGAGGGATGTAAAGCACAGTGAAGCGGTATATGTCCAAGTGCTACTGCTATCATCTATCTATATTATCAATTATATCGTTCTCTCTGTATCTATCTATCTATCTATCTATCTATCTATCTATCTATCTATCTATCTATCTATCTATCTATCTATCTATCTATCTGTATTTCTGTCTTTTTCTTTCTTTCTTTCATCTATCTATCTATCTATCTATCTGTCTGTCTGTCTGTCTGTCGTCTATCTACAGTCTCTGTCTGTCTCTCTCTCTCTCTGGCGCAGTACTTATAAGGCAGTATTGCTGGCTGACTCTGCCCACTGCCAGGAGTTCGATCCTGGACTGGTTCAAGGTTGACTCAGCCTTCCATCCTTCTGAGGTTGCTAAAATGAGGACCCAGATTGTTGGGGGCAATATGACGACTCTGTAAAATGCATAGAGAGGGCTGTAATGCACAGTGAAGCGGTATGTAAGTTCAGGGACTAAATAGAGATAACGTTTTCGGGATGCGCAGCCCACCTGAATACATGTTAGAATACACCATGGGTAGGCAACCTTGGCTCTTTTATGACTGGTGGACTTCAACTCCCAGAATTCCTGAGCCAGCATGGCTCAGCTTGGAAACCTCTCCCTGTCCCCTCAGAGTGGCTGGCTCAGGAATTCTGGGAATTGAAGTCCACCAGTCATAAAAGAGCCAAGGTTGCCTACCCCTGGCATACACGTTCAAAGTTCCAATGGCATAAGTGACTTATGACCGTTTTTCACACTTACGACCCTCGCATCCCCAGGGTCACGGGATCAAAATTCAGATGACTCACAGTTATGACGGTCACAGCGTCCCAGGATCACGTGATCCCCTTCTGCGACCTTCTGCCAAGCAACAGCAATGGGGAAGCCAGATTCACTTAACCACCACGTTACTAACTTAACAACGGCAGCGATTCACTTAACAACTGTGGCAAGAAAGGTCGTAAAATGGGGCAAAACCCATGTAGCAACTGTCTTACTTAGCAACATAAATTTTGGACTCAACTGTGGTCGTACGGCAAGGACCACCTGTAGTTTTTGAACTCCAGGGTTTGGTTTTTACAACCATCCTCCTCTCTAAGCAGTTTTGCCACACACCTTTTTTCACCCCTCCCTCTTTCTCTTTGTCTTTCACACCCCACAACAGCTCTCTGTTGTATCCTTTCTCGGCAATATACTCTCCGCATAGGCTCTACACACCTGATAAAGTTCACAGATCATAGTCCACTCTGCCATAAATGGCTTCATCTTTAAACAACACACTTTCCTTTTCCTACGGCAAATAACTTCCCTTTCTGCTCCCCCACAGCTATCACCCTTGGCTGGAAAACCAATGGGAAGCCAGATCCGAGGTCCGGATTCAAATCCTGAAAACCACTTCACTTTTCTACTCCCCCAAGTCTAAACTCTGCTACCCGGCGAGGGTCCCAGAAGAAATTGTGGGCGCTCCATCACTGGAAATTTCCCAAAAAAAGACTGGACAATCACCTGTCTGAGATGGTATAGGTTCTCCTGCTTGAGCAGGGGGCTGGACTAGAAGACCTCCAAGGTCCCTTCCAGCTCCATTCGATTCTATTCTAAAAATAAAGTTATCCAAGGGAGGGTTTTTTTCAAAGTACTTAAATTACTTCTTAGTTCCAAAATAAACCTGTTTCTCTCTCTCCTGCACGTGGGGAAAAAACCACTAACCGTTGGGAAAAATTTGTTTTGGAACCTCGGCTGTGTCTTTGCAGGTGCCAACCAGGGAAACGCAAATAATAGCAGTCCTTGACATACAACCATTCATTTAGTGACTTTTCAAAGTTACAACAGCCCTGAAAAAAAGGGACTTTATGATAGCCTTTCATACTTAGGACCCTTGCAGTACCCCGCCCCCCCCCGTCCTGTGTTCAAAATTCAGACGCTGAGCAACTGGCTCATAGTTATGACGGTTGCAGTAGGATCCCCGGATCACGTGATCCCCTTTTGCAACCTTCTGACAAGCAAAATCAACAGGGGGGGAGGGGGAAGCTGGATTCACGGAACCATAATTTAACAATTTAACAACCGCAGTGATCCACTCAACTCCCTGTGGCCAGCAAGGCCATTAACTGGAGCAAAACTCCCTAAACGAACGCCTCGCTTAGCGATGGAAACTCTGGGCTCCATGGTGGTCGTTAAGTCGAGGACTACCTGTATAATAACCCCGTGGCTTTGCAGCTCGGCCACCTGCCCGGAGATCAGGGCAGGAGGGTCCTGCCGACACAGAGCCGGACTACAAAACCCCTGGTGCCCGTCCCATCAGTCAGCAGCAGGGCTTCCTCCCACCCAGCAGGGGTGTCGTGGGGAGGGTGGTGGCAGCGGAGGCCTCCCTTGGGATCCTCTTCCAAGGGCTGGAGGAAAGGGAGGCCCAAGGCCTGTAGGACTCCAGGCCAGGCACTTCCTGGTTGGCCACCTGGCTGCTTACCTGTCCTGCAGGTGCCTGCAACCTGCGTCATCTGGACGGGCTAAGCCTCAGTCCAGCCCAGGGTGAAGAGACAGGCCACGTTTCTGGGGTGCAAAGGGGGCTTCCCCATGGGCCTGAGCAGTTTCGGGCCCCCCAGAACTCCCCCCCCTCGCCTTGGTGCCCCTGAAAAGTTTGAGCCCCAATTTTGGGGAGTCCATGAATGACTATTTATCCCCACATGGGGTGGTCAGGGAAACTCTCCAGGTATCTGCCCCCCTCCAAAAAAAAAAAGCCCTCTCAGGGACGACCCAGCCGGCTTCCCCTGCCCTTGGAGGCCCCGAAAGGGGCGTCTGGGAGTCCGCGTCCCCCTCGGCGCGGGCCTCGGGCTAGGCCTCGCATCCCCGGCCTTGCCTGGCCGGCGCGGCCGGGGACCCCACCTCTCCCCCGGGGGAGGGGGTTGACGTGGGTCCCGCTCGAGCGCTCGGCCTCCTTCCCTTCCCCAACTCCCTCCCGCTCCGCGGCCGCCATTGGCCGGAGCCGAGGCCCGAGGGGAACAGAAAAGGCGCAGGCGCGCTCGCCATTGGCCGCCGCCGCCGCCTGTCAACACGCCTCCCGCGGCAGGCCCGCCCGCGGGGCATCTCGGGAGACGTAGTCGCCGGCCTCCTTTGCACCTGCAGGCCTAAGCGGCCGGGAAGACTACAACTCCCAAGCAGCCCCCTCCCTCTCTCGCTCTCTCTTCTTCTCCCTCTCTCTCCCCGGGGCTTGCAAAGCCCCCTCCCTTAAAAAAACATATCCTGCCGCCCCCCCCCCCAAGCAAGTACAACGTAGGCAACGCAGCACAGAATACTGGGAGGGGAGGGGGGGCCGGTCGGGCAAGGCAAAAAGCAAGGCCGGGCGAGAGGAGGGGGCGGAAAGTTCTGCCCCGCTTCCCTTCCCTCCCTGCCCGTCCGCCCGCCTGCCTCCCCCGCGCGATTGCAAAGCCCCCCCCCTCCTCCCTCCGGCCCCGCGCACAGAGCCCGCGCGCTCCCTCCCCTCCCCCGCCCCTCTTTGCAAAGGGGGCAACCCGGGACAGCCGGATCCCGATCGCCCCTTTAGCATCGATCCACTTTCCCTTTTTTTTTTTTTTTTTTTTGGCTTTTGGCTTTGCAAACCGCCTCTTCGCTCGCTCTGCTTCCTCCAACTGCGCCCCCCCGACACACACACACACGCACACACAGAGAGAGCTCGATGCCACCCCGTCCGGGGCCAGCTGGGGACTTTTCAGCCCAAGCCGACCCCCCCCCCCTTTATTTTCCCCCTTTGCAACACCCCCCCCCCTCCAAGCCGCCCCACGCGCGCGCAGGTGATCCGGAACGAAGGAGGAAAGTTGAGCTTGGCCCGAAAGTCGCCGAAGGACTTCGGTGCTTCCCTGCCTTCCCCCCCCCCCGCCAGCCAACCAGCCCGACAACCAACCAGCCCCCCCCCCCAAAAAAAAGTCCCCTTCCACCCCCCCCCCCTTCTCCATGGGAATGGCAAGCAATCCGGCCAAGCCCGGCTTGCTGTCCTTACCTTCTTGGTCCGGTGGGGGGGGGGTCTCTCTCTCTCTCTCTCGGGCGGAGGCGAGGGTCGCGGGCAGCAGCAGCCAGGCGCGTCCGGCCTCCCCGCTCTGGCTGGCTGGCTGGGCTGGCTGGCTGTGCCGTGCTCGCCTCTCCCCTTGCCTGTAACAGTAGATGCAAAGCCCCGTATGATGCCGTGAACTCCCTTCCTGGTTGCTCTCCGGGCGAAAGCGGGGTCCCTCCCCTCTCTTAAAGGTGCAGCCGCCGCCGCCGCCGCGCGCTCCGCGGGGGGAAAGCCAAAAAAAGGGGAGGAAGGGAAAGAACCGACTTGCAAAAAAAAAAAAAAAAAAGGGGGGGGGGAGGAAAGAAGCCGGCCGGGGATGATGGGAGGGCCCGGCTGGGGATGATGGGAGAGCCCCGTGCAAAGGCAGATCCAGAAGGAGAGGAACACACCCCCCCCTGCACCGCCACCACCAACCCGGGGGTCCGCAGTTGCAAGTCACCCGCTTCTTGCCACGTCTCCTCCGCCGCCGCTGCTGCTGTTGCTGGCGCCCGGGCTCTCCCGCCGCGCTCCGTGCCAAGGGCGCACGCCTGGCCAAAGGGGGCTGCTGGGCTGCTTTGCCCTCCCTTCCCCTGCCCTCCCCTGCCCCGCCTCGCCTCCCCTCCGCCGGCCGCTCGAGCGATCGGCAGGGAGCCCCCCCCCTCCCTCCTTCCCTCCCTCCCTCTCCCTCCCACCCGGAGGCGAGGCGAGGCGGAGGGCTCGCCGGGGTTATCTCAGTCCCGGCAGGCCGGGGCAGGCAGGCTGTGCCCGAAAGAGACAGAGAGAGAAAGAGAGAGAGGAGCCCGGCCGCTTTCGTCCTTTTTTTTTTTTGCACGCCCGTCCGCCGGCGTTTGCACGCGCGTTTGGCTTGCACACGCACATACATACACGCGCGCGCTGCGCTTCGGAGCGCGCGGCGGCGGCGGGAAGGGGATGGAGATGGGGGAGCCGGGCTTTGGGGAGAGAGGATTTACCCCCCTCTCGAGACACACACACACACACGGACACGGACACGGACGGGCACGGACACAAACGCCCGCGCGCGCGCGCCCCCGGCGATAACCAGACCCGCGCGCCCTTTTTTTGCACCGTGCGCGAAGTTCAAGAACGGGCGCCGCGCTTCTCGCGGGCCGCGCAGGTTCCGGCCGGTGGCTCGGGGGACTGCAAAGCCCATGCGCCGCGCCCGGCGTGCCAGCCCGCCTTGCAAGGAGGGACGCGGCGATCCGGCCGTCCCCGAGAGGAGTGGGGAAGGGAGGGGAGGGAAAGGGGTTCGCTTGGGTAGTTGCGGATCTGCTATGGCAGGTTTTCCGCCGTCGGGTGGGAGGCTGCCTTTCCCCCCCCCCTTCCACGCTGCGTTGTAAAGGAGACTTGGGTGGGGTGGATCGGGCCCTTCTGGCCGGCGAAGGCGCGTTTGGCTGCTGAAGGCGCGTTCACACGTGCAGGCGGAGCGGATCCTCGCCGAGCCGAGCATAAGCGCTCGGCCAGGGAAAGTGACAGCGCGGGTGGCTTTGATCTAATAATCGCTTTGGAAAGAAACGGGTGGGGGTTTTGCTCGGAAGGATTGCACGCCGAGTGAGCCAAGAGCCCTGCAAGGTAGGCCAGTCTTATCTCCCTTCTGCAGACGGGGCGGGGCTGGTGGGGGGGGAAAGAGCACTGGGCGGGGAAGGGGGAGAGAAAGAGAGGAGACTTCAAGATGTCCAAATATCGCCCTGCTCTTTAAGTTTAATTTTTGGAGAGAAAAAAAAATGGAGCAGGGGTTGGACTAGAAGACCTTTCAAGTCCCCTCCCACTCTTGTTATTCTGACACTTTTATGCGGGGGAGGTCTGCCAGTAGAGGTCCATCTGGGAGCCCAATATTTTAGTTTGCTGAGCAAGACGGGTTGTTCAGTGGCTTTTGCCCCATTTTACGACCTTTTTCGCCATATTTGTTAAATGCTGCAGTCGTTAAGTGAGTAACCCGGTCGTTAAGCGAATCAGGCTTCCCCCATCGACTTTGCTTGTCGGACGGTCGCAAAATGGGATCCCAGGATCCCCGGGGACAATGCAACCGTCATAATTAGGAGCGTCTGAATTTTGATCACGTGATCATGCTGCAGTGGTCGTAAGTGTGAAAAAACGGTCGTAAGTTGCTGTTTTTCGTGCCGTTGTAACTTTGAGTAGTCACTAAATGAATGGTTCTAAGTTGAGGACTATATCTGCACTGCGGGCCTCCTCGGGAGTTGATGCCAGAAATTAAAAACAGTGGATGGAAGGGGACAGACAGAGGGGGGCTGGACTAGAAGACCTCCAAGGTCCCTTCCCAGCCCATTTTCCCCTGTTCTGTGTTCTCGATTCAGCCTCCTTTGAATTCCTCAAGCAAATGGAAATAAGTGTTATGGAATTTCCTCAGGACTATTTTCCTTTCAGACAGAAAGTAGTTTTAATAAGAAGATCCTGATTTTATTGATAGACTGAAAGTATAGTCAGCTAGTTCCAGGAAGTCCTCGACTTACGACCACAAACGAGCCCTCAAATTTCTGTTAACATTGGTTAAATCATAGCTGACTCGGGAATTCTGGGAGTTGAAGTCCACGAGTCATAAAAGAGCCAAGGTTGCGTACTTATGGGTCAAATGAATTTCCTGTTTTACGACCTTTCTTTTCATCGTTGTTAAGTGAATCACTGCGGCTAATAAGTCAGAAACCTGGTTGTTAAGTGAATCCCCCTTCCCCTGTTGACTCTGCTCGTCAGAAGGTCGCAAAAGGGGTTCGCAAACCGTCATAAATGTGAGTCGGTGGCCAAGCCTCTGAATTTTGATCACTTGACCACAGGGATGCTGCAACGATCGTAAGTCTGAAACACGGTTGTAAGTCACTTTTTTCATTGCCGTTGCAACTCTGAACGGTCACTAAATGATCTGTTGTAAGTCGAGGACCACCGGTACTTTTTTTTAAAAAAAAAAAAGAAAAGTTGTTCCACCAATTGGGTACGAGCGTGAACACGCAGGTAGTTCTTGACTTATAACGATTCATTTAGTGACCATTCGAGGTTTCAGCGACACTGAAAAACGTGACTTACGACTGTTTCTCACAGTTACGACCTTGGTAGCATCCCTGTGATCACCTGATCGAAATTCAGATGCCTGGCCACTGACTCATATTTATGACAGTCACACTGTCCCGGGGTCAAGGAAAGTCAACGGGGGAAGCCGGATTCACTTAACAACTGGGCTACTAACTAACTGTGGCAAAAAGGTGGTAAAATGGAGCAAAACTCACTTAACAACAGAAACATCTCACTTAACAACAGAGAAGCTGGGCTGAATTGTGGTCGTAAAACGAGAACTACCTGTAAGCATCCAGCCAATCCTAATTTCAAACCAATTGGAACGTATTTGCAGCCGGGCTTCAGACATAAACTTTGGTCTTGGGTGAAAGGGGGGGGTAGGTCCCTTTAAAATCCATTGGGACTACAGGATCCAGAATGCTTAGCAGGCCAGTAAAAAAAATCAAAGCCCTGCAGAGCATTCTCCATCCCCTCTCCCTTCTGGGGGAGTCAACCACCCTCTTGCCCCCTAAATTCACTAAGCCCCCCTCCCTTTATGTGCAAATGGAGCCCCTTCCCCACACGGGGTATAGCTTCTCTAGGGCAAGGGTCTGCAACCATAGCCATTTTTAAGACTTGTGGACTTCAACTCCCAGAATTCCTCAGCCAGCAACCTTGGCCCCTTTAAGACTTGTGGACTTCAACTCCCAGAATTCCTCAGCCAGCAACCTTGGCCCCTTTAAGACTTGTGGACTTCAACTCCCAGAATTCCTCAGCCAGCAAAGCTGGCTGAGGAATTCTGGGAGTTGAAGTCCCCAAGTCTTACAGTGGTCAAGATTCCCTGCTCTAGGGAGCCTAGCAGCAAAAAAAAATAGGGGGCAGGAGAGTGGGTGGGGCCTAACCAGAATGGGTGGAACTTCCTGGAAATTTGACAGTTAGCCAAACTAGGTAATAGGGTGGACAGATTCGGGGTTCACATCTCCAGAGGCCCTTGTTGACTCACTCTACGACACTGCATAGAGGTAATCCTCGGCGACGTACGACCGAAAGTCAACCCTAAATTTCTGTTGCTAAGGGGGAATGGTTGTTAAGTGACTTTTGCCCCAGTTTACGACCTTTCTTGCCACAGTTGTTAAGGGAATTGCAGTCGTTAAGTTAGAAACACGGTTGCTAAATGAATCTGTCTTCCCCCATTGACTTTGCTTGTTCGTCGGAAGGTCGCCAAAAGGGATCCCAGGATCCTGTGATGCTGCAACTGTCATAAGGATGAGTCGGTTGTCCAGCACCCGAATGCAAATCATGTGGCTAAGGGGATGCTGCAATGGTCATAAGTGTGAGTCAGCTGTCTAGCACCCGAATGTAAATCCCGTGGCCAAGGGGATGCTGCAATGGTCGTAAGTGTGAGTCGGTTGTTCAGCACCTGCATATAAATCCCGTGGCCAAGCGGACACTGCAACCATCATAAGGATGAATCGGTTGTCCAGCACCCGAATGTAAATCCCGTGGCCAAGGGGATGCTGCAATGGTCGTGAGTCGGTTGTTCAGCACCTGCATATAAATCCCGTGGCCAAGCGGACACTGCAACCGTCATAAGGATGAATTGGTTGTTCAGCACCTGAATATAAATCCCGTGGCCAAGGGGACACTGCAATGGTCGTAAGTGTGTCAATTGTCAAGCCCCCGAATGTAAATCACGTGGCCAAGGGGATGCTGCAATGGTCATAAGTGTGAGTCACCTGCAGCGATTCACTTAACAACCGTGGGTAAGAAAGCTCATCAAATGGAGGGGGGGTAAAACTCACTTAATTTTTCTCTCTAAGCCAGTGGTTCTCAACCTTTCTAATGCCGCGACCCCATAATACAGTTCCCCATGTTGTGGTGACCCCCAACCAGTTATACATCACCGGGTGCCAGGGGCGTGGCCAAAGAAAAGGGGGAAAAAATGGCAGACAGCCTTGTTTGGCGACCCCCGTGAAATGGTCGTTCGACCCCAAATGGGGTCCCGACCCACAGGTTGAGAACCACTGCTCTAAGCAACAGAAATTTGAGGCTCAATTGTGGTCGTAAGTCGAGGACCACCTTTGTATAATTTTATCCCAGAAATCTTAGCAAGGTAAAACCCATCTGGATATTTGGAAGAAAGTAAGTGATGCCTCTAACCGAGGAGGTGATAATAACTCAATGATAAGGTGGCTCAGGATGGAGAGGAGAATAGAATAGAATAACAAGAGTTGGAAGGGACCTCGGAGGTCATCTAGTCCAACCCCCTGCTCAAGCAGGAGAGACCCTGCACGATTTCAGACAAACGGCTGTCTAGTCTCTCCTTAAAAACCTCCAGTGATGGAGTTACCCACAACTTCTAGAGCAGTGGTTCTCAACCTTTTTAATGCCGCGACCCCAACCGGTCGTAAGTCGAGGACTACTCAACCGGTCGTAAGTCGAGGACTACTCAACTGGTGCAGCACCGTTTGCAGAATGGGACTTTTGGCGGGCTCAGCAGGGCAGAGACAGCCTGGACAATTCCTATTGGCTTTTGAAAGCCAATAGAATTAGACTCTATTCAAGAGAGTCTATTCTATTGGCTTTCAAAAGCCAATAGAATAAAAGGGAGTAGCACAGCTAAGGAAAAGGGGGAAAAAATGGCGGACTGCGTTGTTTGGCGACCCCCGTGAAATGGTCGTTCGACCCCCAAATGGGGTCCCGACCCACAGGTTGAGAACCACTGTTCTAGAGCCAAGCCGTTGCACCCATTAATTGCTCCCTCTGTTAGGAAATTTCTCCTTAGTTCTAGGCCAGGGATAGGCAACCTTGGCTCTTTTATGACTAGTGGACTTCAACTCCCAGAATTCCTGAGCCAGCATGGGGGAAGTATGACCCCTTCATGACTCGTGGACTTCAACTCCCAGAATTCCTCTGCCAGCATGGGGGAACTATGGCTCCTTCATGACTTGTGGACTTCAACTCCCAGAATTCCTGAGCCAGCATGAAGGAACTATGGCCCCCTCATGACTCGTGGACTTCAACTCCCAGAATTCCTGAGCCAGCCTGGCTCAACCTCTCCCTTTCCCCTCAGTGTGGCTGGCTCAGGAATTCTGGGAGTTGAAGTCCACCAGTCATAAAAGAGCCAAGGTTGCCTACCCCTGTTCTAGGCTGCTTTTAAATCCTAGTTAACCTTGGGTTTTTAGAAACTGGCTGGTTTTAGGGGGCAATGGCTGTTTGTGCCGGGGACGGGGGGGGGGCTGTAACCAAGACCTTTTGAGGAAGGGCTGTGTGTTGTGAAGGCAGATGACAGCAAGAAGCGGATGAATAAAACGTCCCTTTAGTTTAGCAGCAGCCGTTCCCCCCCCCTCGCCCTGCAGTGGTGGGGTTCCTTTAGGACACATTGGATTTTATTCTGCCGTCCCACCCGCCTCGCCTCGTTCAGGAAGCCGGGGAGGGGAGTGGGAGATGGAAAAAGTAAGAGGATGGGAGGGCAAAGCGGGACAGAGAGTTGTTGACATTGTCGGCTGACCTTGTGCGTTCTCAAGCCAGCTTTTATCAGCTTCTCTGCGGTGGGAGACCCTGAACATTTTATCAGGGTTTGTTAAATGGGAAGGAAGCCACGGATATCAATTTGCCTTGGGAATCCGGGCTGCCTCCCACCAACCCTTTTGGGGAAGGGAGTCAAAATCTTAACCCTTAATACATCATGTGCATCCATTTTATTTTACACTCGGGTTTTTATTTATTTTTTTATCTATTTGGGTTTAAGGCCGCCTAGCCTGACAGAGGAGAGGAGACGGGCAGCCCTGTAAATAAAAGAAGCAATAAGCGGACCTTTATAAATGCACAGTAGCCGTCGTTCTCGGCTTACGACCACGACGGAGCCCAAAACGTAGGTTGCTCAGCGGGAAATTTGTTCGGCGGGTTTTTGCCCCCTTTTACGACTTTTTTTCTTGCCGCGCTCGTGAAATGAATCCCTGCAGTCGTTCAGTTAGTAACCCGGTTGTTAAGCGAGTCGGGCTCCCCCGTGGAGGTTGCTTGTCGGGCAGTCACCAAAGGGGGTTACGTGACCCCGGGGACACTGCAAACCGTCATAAATGTGAGCCCGTTTGCCAAGTCTCCGCATTTTTTTTATCGCGATGAACACGGGGGGATGTGCTGCAACGGTCGCGAGTGTGAAACGTGGCATTAAGTCCCTTTTTTTCAGTGCCGTTGTAACTTGGAACGGTCGCTAAATGGACTGTTATAAGTCAAGGATTATCTGTATGCTGTTTAGGGCTGCTCAGGGTCACAGATGTAGGATGGGCAGTTCTGTAAATCAGTTAATTAAAAATAAATAAAGTTGTGTGTTTTTTTTTTTTCAAAAGGCACCTGGATTTTCTTTGTTTCTCCTTGAAGATGTTTCGCTTCTCACCCAAGAGGCTTCTTCGGTTCTGACTGAATGGTGGGGAATGGAAGGATTTAAGCAGTTCCAAGAAGGTTCCACACCCATTTGCGCTACAGGTAGTCCTTGACTTACGATAGTCCGTTTAGTGACTGTACAAAGTTACAACGGCGCTGAAAAAAGGAACTTACGACCAATTTTTTTTTCAGATTTACAATGGTTGCAGCATCTCCCATGGTCCTGTGAGCAAAATTCAGCTTCTGAAGAACTTCACCTGTCCCAAACATTGTGCAGTCTGACCTAAACCAGGAATCCGTGGCCAACATAGTGACCAACTCTTAATCTGGCCAACTCTTTATTCCATACGTGTCCCGGCTGGCTGGTGACACCCAGGTGGTGGTATGTGGTGGGGTCCAGGTGGTGATGGTTGCTTTGTTGAGGATCCTCAAGAGGTCCTAGACCAGTGGTTCTCAACCTGTGGGTTGGGACCCCATTTGGAATCGAACGACCATTTCACGGAGGTCGCCAAACAACGCAGTCCGCCATTTTTCCCCCTTTTCCTTAGCTGTGCTGCTCCCTTTTATTCGATTGGCTTTTGAAAGCCAATAGAATAGACTCTCTTGAATAGAGTCTAATTCTATTGGCTTTCAAAAGCCAATAGGAATTGTCCAGGCTGTCTCTGCCCTGCTGAGCCCGCCCAAAGTCCCATTCTACAAACGGTGCTGCACCAGTTGAGTAGTCCTTGACTTACGACCGGTTGCGTAGTCCTCAACTTACGACCGGTTGGGGGTCTCGGCATTAAAAAGGTTGAGAACCACTGTCCTAGATGGTCATAGTAATACTGGACAGGCTCCTTAGAAACTGGTTGGGGTGCTCCTCAAGAGATTTCTGGAAGATAGTGATCTAGACCTCAAGTCAGATTTTGGACATCGTCCTGATAGGATGCTGGTTGTGCTTCATGACCTTCAGCAAAGCCAGGACAACTGTAGAACCATCCTGGTTCTCTTTGGTTCTCTCAATGGCTTTCCATACCGTTGAACCAAGAATCTTCCTGGATCACCCTGCTGGGAGTCAGAACCCAGTGTTATGAGGACTGTCCTCCTCCATTGTTATGAGGACTGTCACATCCAGTCAGCGTGTCAGTGGGATGGAGGAGATCAAGTTTGAGGACCTTGAGATATGGGTTGACTTACGGCTCTCTACCTCCGTTTAATACTTACATGAGCTGCTGAGCGAGGCCATCCCTTGATGTCAAATATCGAACACTGTTGATATTTGACATCAAGGGATCATCTGCATCAGGTATTTGGGATGCCTTGACCTTGGGCCAATTAGCTCTCAAAGTCTTCTCCTATCTGGAGCTTCAGTGGGAGGAACTTACACAGATTAGAGTAGAATAACAGAGTTGGACGGGACCTTGTAGGTCATCTAGTCTAATCCCCTGCCCAAACAGGAGACCCTACACCATTTCTGACATATGGCGTTCCAGTCACTTCTTGAAAGCCTCGTGATGAAGTGCCAACGGCATTCGAAGGCAGCCTGTTCCATTGGTTGATTGTTCCGTCAGGAAATCTCTCCTTGAACAGTTTCCATCCATTATTCCTTGTCTGGCCTTTGGGAAATAAGTTGACCCCCTCCTCTCTGGGACAGCCCCTCCAATATTGGAATTCTGCTCTCGTGTCTCCCCTGCTCCTTCTTCTCACTTGACTAGCCATGTTCAGTTCTTCATATGCTTTAACCTCCAGTCCCCTAATCATCTTTATTGCTCTTCTCTGCACTCTGTTTCTAGAGTCTCAGCATCTTTTTGATACTGTGGTGACCAAAACTGACTGCAGTTTTCTAGATGTGGCCTTACTAAGGCTTTATAGAGTGGTATTAGTTCCTCGCGTGATCTTGATTAAATTCCTCTATTAATGCAATTTAGGATTGCATTGGCTTTTGGGGCTGCCGCCGCACACAGTTGACTCCTATTTAATGGATCGTCCACGGAGATTCCAAGATCCTTCTCACAGTTGCTGCTATTAAGCCTGGTTTCACCCAAGCTATGTGCGTCCTTTTGGTTTTTCTGGCCTAAGTGTAAGACTCTCCATTTCTCTACACACTAAATCTCATTTTGTTGTGTTCAAGTCTTATCAAGATCTCTCTGGATCTTAAGCCTATCGTTTAGGGCAGTAGTTCTCAACCTGTGGGTCGGGACCCCATTTGGGGTCGAACGACCATTTCACGGGGGTCGCCAAACAACGCAGTCCACCATTTTTTCCCCCTTTTCCTTAGCTGTGCTACTCCCTTTTATTCTATTGGCTTTTGAAAGCCAATAGAATAGACTCTCTTGAATAGAGTCTAATTCTATTGGCTTTCAAAAGCCAATAGGAATTGTCCAGGCTGTCTCTGCCCTGCTGAGCCCGCCAAAAGTCCCATTCTGCAAACGGTGCTGCACCCGTTGAGTAGTCCTCGACTTACGACCGGTTGAGTAGTCCTCGGCTTACGACCGGTTGGGGGGTCGCGGCATTAAAAAGGTTGAGAACCACTGGTTTAGGGTGTTGGCAATTCCTGCCAGCTTAAGTGTCGTATCTGGACTACAAAGGAGTTATTGCTCTTTGCATTGGTGTGCAGCCTGACTCAGTCGCTCACAAGTCTTCCTCATAAGAGTAGGCAGCATTTGTCTTGGAAGACCTTCTGCATTGGGAGCTAAGCTGGTTCCCAGTTCTTGGAAGTGCTGGTTGTCCCTATTCCAGATGCAGGACCAGCCTGTCTGCTGTAGTTTCTTCCGTTTTGCTTAATCGGGCGTATTCTGCTTCCTGTCAGAGCAGCAGGATGGCCTAGTGGTGAAGACGCTCACCTCCCATTTGGAAAGTTGACACCAAGCTGGCAGGAATAGCCAACACTCCAGAAGTTACAGGCTTAGGATACAGGAGGACCTAGACAGACTTGAACACTGGGCGCTATCTAACAAAATGAAATTCAAGGGTGAAAAAAGTCAGGTTCTACATTTAAGCAAGAAAAACCAAATGTATAGGTATGGGATAGGGGGTACTTTGCTCAATAGTAGCAACTGTGAGAGGGATCTCGGAGTCCTAGTGGACAACCACCTAAATATGATCCAGCAATGTGCTGCCGCTGCCAAAAAGGCCAACACAGTGCTAGGCTGCATTAACAGAGGGATAGAATCAAGATCAGGTGAAGTGTTAATACCACTTTACAAGACCTTGGTAAGGCCACACTTGGAATACTGCATCCAGTTTTGGTCCCCACGATGTAAAAAAGATGTTGAGACTCTAGAAAGAGTGCAGAGAAGAGCAACAAAGATGATCAGGGGACTGGAGGCTAAAGCATATAAGGAACGGCTGCTGGAATTGGGGATGTCTAGTTCAGTGATGGCGAACCTTTTAGAGACGGAGTGCCCAAACTGCAACCCCAAACCCACTTATTTAATGCCAGGTGCCAGGTGGGTGTGGCCCACTGTGGTGGTCATGGCAGATTGGGTGGGTCTGGCCAAGGTTGCCATGGTCATCTCGATGTTGCTTGTGGAGAGGGACGCCTGTGAAGGCTGGGCAGGGTTGGGGGAGATCCAGGGGGTCTCTGGCAGGTGGGGCGGTGGGCAGGAGGATCGTCCTGTGGGGAGAGGTGAGGCAAGGAGAGGCAGGATGGGGGTGCATTGTCACAGGGCAAGGTGAGGCGGGCTGGGGCAGCTACTGCCTGACGCCATCAGCCTCTGCACGCAGAGGCCAGCAAGCGCATGGATGCTGAGATGCATTCGGCGATGTGGGACCCTCGGCAAGTTAGCGGGTTGCTGGTTGAAGAGGGATGGTTGCCATCTCCGGGGCATGGCGTGTTTGCCCACAGAGAGGGCTCTGAGTGCCGCCTCTGGCACATGTGCCATAGGTTCGCCACCACTGGTCTAGTTCAATGAAGAGAAGGACGAGGGGGGACATGATAGCCATGTTCCAATATCTCAGGGGCTGCCATAAAGAAGAGGGAATTAAGCTATTTTCCAAAGCACCTGAAGGCAGGATTAGAAGCAACAGATGGAAGCTAATCAAGGAGAGAAGCAACCTAGAACTAAGGAGAAACTTCCTGACAGTGAGAACAATTAACCAGTGGAACCAGCTGCCTCCAGAAGTGGTGAATGCTCCAACACTGGGAGTTTTTAAGAAGAGACTGGACAGCCATTTGTCCGAAACGGTGTAGGGTTTCCTACCTGAACAGGGGGGTTGGACTCGATGACCGCCAAGGTCCCTTCCAACTTTATTACTATTACTAGTTCAATTCTAGGTAGCGGCAGATGTTTCTCGGCGCAAAGAGAAAACATTTGCTCTGTACCCCGCAAGGGCGTCAGGAAGGGGAACTGGCCAGTAAATGCTCGGCTCCATTCAGTCGCCCCGACTCCACTCCAAATTAAGGGATTATAGGGATACAAATGAAACACAAATTCTGTTGATTAAAATGTCACTTGATGGGATCTAGAACGCGGACTTCTCTGTGTTGGTAGCCTCTCTGCAGAACATCAGAGACCCATATGAAACCAGCCTCCACCTGAATTTTGCTTAAATGCATTCTTAAACCTGGCTTTTCTTCCATAGTCCTGATAGAATCGGCCTTAAAAATATTAACAACATGAAACAAAACTAAAACAAAATTAAGGGGCAATTGGTTTGCCGTTTTCTTTCAGGATGTTTTTCTGGGTCCCTAGAACGCCTATGCTCTACATTACATGGTGGTCTCCCATCCCTGCTTGGGTTTTACAGCCCAGCCTAGTTTTACCACTAAAAACCTAAAATTCTTCTTCAAAGGCATCCTAATATGATGAACTTAACCAGAGTCACTTGGCTGAGTTGGGGAGGCTATAAAAATTGAATGAACAAATGAAATCAATGAACTTGGAAGATGCGTAAACATACATTTACGGTGATGGAATCACTGGAGGATTTCTTTGTCCCGATGGAAACCATTTTGTGTTGGTTTTTTTTTTAGCTTTACAATTTGCAGCATTGGACAGGTAGCCCTTGACTTAAGACTCCAAAATTTCTACTGTTAAGCGAGATA